TCTGTCTGTGTGACTCTGATGCTGGATGCAGTCTGCTGTAGCCATGCTGGGCCCAGGATAGACAAGGTGGGTGAGGTAATATCCTTTATCAGACCTGCTTCTCTTGATATTACCTTACCTACCTTGTGACTCTGATGCTGGTGAAAGTAAGTGTCAAACTGACAGTCCTGGAGGCTTCTGTTAACCTGCTACCTTCCCTCACTGTGGGCCACACTCCTCACCTTGGAGCTTCAGGGCTTGGCTACACTTACAAAAGCAAGTCAGAGCGCTTTCAAGCGCTAGTGTAGACAGGCTCCAAGTGCTCCGAGGCTCTGGCTATACAGGAGAGCGTACAGCAGCTCAGCCGCAGTGATGTGGGTGGACTGCTGAAAGCTCTCTGTGTTCTAAGCCAACGGGAGAGAGCTCTCTCCTCAGCTTAATTACTCCATTCTCCTGGAGTGGTGGTAGCTTCCCGCCAACATAGCGCTGTCCACACCAGCGCTTAAGTCGGCATAAGTTATGTCACTCAGGGGAGTGGCTGATTCACACCCCTGAGTGACACAACTTATGTCGAATTAGGCTGATTTAGTTGGGGATCGGTCCTGCTTTGAGCAGGGGGTTGGACTAGATGACCTCCTGAGGTCCCTTCCAGCCCTGATATTCTATGATTCTACGATTCATAGCCTTAGAGGTTTTGCAGACCACTCCATGTGGGAGACTAAGTAGCTGCTTGCCTGTCAGCATAACCTGTCCTCTCTCTACCCCGGGGGAAGAACTGTTATGCTTTCAAACCATACTGTGTCTAATTAGCAGCCAGGGGATTGTAATTCTGGCTGGACTCTGCTTCAGCAAAGAAGACGGCTGTCCTTCTTCCTTATTAGTCAGCAAGAAATGCAGTGCCTGTCTCTTCCGTTGGCTCTTCTTTCCCTTCTCATCCTCGTTCCCAAGGGATATTTGTCCCCATCACAAAACCTGTGCACTGTTTGGATGGAATAGGCCTGGCCTATGGTAGCAGGGGGCAAGCCCAGGACTGGAATAGCAGGGGGGGCTGTGACTGAGGTGCATTGACAGAACTGGGGGGGGCACAACCAAGAATGAAATAGTTCTGGGGGCTGCAGTTAAGACTCAATCCTTGAATTGGCAGAGCAGCAGGGCTGCTGAACTGGAATGACAATGATAATCCAGAACAGCGCCCCTGGGAGGACATGGCATCAGTTGTGAGAGCGAAGGGGTTTTGGAACCCTAGGAATGTACTGAGTAATTAAAAGCTATGGGATGTGATCTTGGTTTGGATAATCGAGTGTGACAGACCCAGACCAGTGGGGTACAGGAGTCTGGTCCTATTGGGATCTAGGGGTACAGGAGTCTGGTCGAAGGCAAATATACTGGCCACTGGATAAACAGTTTTCTGTTCCCTGAGTGACCAGAGCAGGGACTGCCCTAGAGCAATCAGGAACCTGCCAGAACCAATTAAGACAGGCAAGCTAATCAAGACACCAGGAGTCAATTAAGAACTTTCTAGAATAAATTATGGCAGGCAGACTAATCTGGACACCTGGTTTAAAAAGGACCTCCCATCAGTTAGTAGGGGAGTGTGCAAGGAGTGAGAAGGTATGCTGCTGGAGGACTGAAGAGTTCAAGTGTGATCAGGCTTCAGGAGGAAGATCCTGCAGTGAGGATAAAGAAGGTGCTGGGGGAAGGCCGTGGAGAAGTAGCCCAGGGACTTGTAGCTGTCATGCAGCTGATACAGGGAACATTGTAGACAGCTGCTATCCACTGGGCCCTGGGCTGGAAACCGGTGTAGAGGGTGGGTCTGGGTTCTCCCCAACTCCTGGTCAGACACAGGGGGAGTTAACCTGATCTGTGAGAAACACCAGAAGGGAAGGTCTAATTTGGAAAGGGATCTGGCCTGTCCCTGACCCACTAGGTGGGACACAGAGACTGTGGGGATTGTTCTGTTTCCCCCATGCTGGCCAGTGATAAGGTTAGCTGGATGGACGGCAGGTTTGAGCCTCTAGCAAAAGTGGCCAAACTGAGGGCTGCCGTGAATCTCTGAGGCGAGCAAATCCGCCAATAAGCACAGGACCCACCAAGGCAGAGGAGGACCTTTGTCACACAAGGTTACACTGCTTCTAGCACTTCATGTTTTTAAAATGCTGTGCAAATATTGACCAGGGGTGCCAGGACTGAAATGTCCAGGGGAGTGGGGAGGTGGCAGGTCAGGGTTGAGGGGCAGTGGCAGAGCTGGGGTGGGGGGCAGCATCCCATAACTGAAATGACAAGGGACCTGCAAGTGAAAACTGAGCTGCATCAGCAGAGCTGAATGTGTGTGAAACTTGCAGTGCAGTTGGCACTACTAGCGGTAAAACTCCCTGACTGCCCTCCCTTCCCCCCCCCCGCAACCCAAGAAGGCCTGAAGCCTCTTAGCGCTCAGTATATCCATGTTTGGATGCTCAGGGCAATGAGCCATGACTACAGATTCCAAGCCAGTTTCTCACACCACGGCTGTGTGACCTGTACTGTACGCCTAGCTGGGCAAAATTTTTCGACAACTAGGTTATCTGCCCAAAAATGCAGCTTTGGGTGACATGAATTCACCAAATTGTTTTGTTTACAGAGCAGGTAGGATGGTGTTGCCCCCTTATAACATAGAATCATAGAAATGTCAGGCTGGATGGGACCTTGAGAAGTCAGCAAGCGCAGCCCCCTTCCTCAGGCCAGAACAGCTCAACCTACACCATCCCTGACAGGAGTCTGTCCAACCTGTCCTCAAAAAGCTCCAGTGACAGGGATTCCACACCATCCCTTAGAAGCCCATTCCAGAGCTTAAGGAATGAGGCTGCGGGAACTGGGCTTATTTAGTCTGCAGAAGAGAAGAATGAGCGGGGATTTGATAGCAGCCTTCAACTACCTGAAGGGGGGTTCCAAAGAGGATGGAGCTTGGCTGTTCTCAGTGGTAGCAGATGACAGAACAAGGAGCAATGGTCTCAAGTTGCAGTGGGGAGGTCTAGGTTGAATATTAGGAAACACTATTTCACTAGGAGGGTGGTGAAGCCCTGGAATGGGTTACCTAGGGAGGTGGTGGAATCTCCTTCCTTAGAGGTTTTTAAGGTCAGGCTTGACAAAGCCCTGGCTGGGTTGATTTAGTTGGGGTTTGTCCTGCTTTGAGCAGGGGGTTGGACTAGATGGCTTCCTGAGGTCTCTTCCAATCCTAATCTTCTATGATTCTATACCCTTATCATTAGAAAGACTTTCCTAATATCTAACCTAAATCTCCCATGCTGCAGATTAAGCCCATTACTTCTTGTGCTACGTTCAGTGAACATGGAGAAAAACTGATCACTGTCTTCTTTAGAATAACCCTTGCCATATCTGAAGGCTGTTATCGGGTCCCCCTCAGTCTTCTGCTCTCAAGAGTAAATATGCCCAGTGTTAACTTTTCCTCGTAGGTCAGGTTTTCTAAACCTTTTATCATTTTAGTTGCTCTCCTCTAGACTCTCTCTAATTTGTCCACATCTTTCCTAAAGTATGGTTTCTAGAATTGGACACAGCTGAGGCCTTACCAGTGCTGAGTAGAGCAAGACAATTACCTCCCGTGTCTTACATACGACATTCCTGTTAATGCAGCCTAGAATGATATTAGTCATTTTTGCAACTGCATCAGATTAACTCATATTGAATTTGTGATCCACTCTAACCCCCCAGATCCTTTTCAGAAGTACTGCCACCTAGCCAGTTATTCCCCTTTTCGTTGTCATGCATTTTAGTTTTCCTTGCTAAGTGAAGCACTTTGCACTTGTCTTTACTGAATTTCCTCTTGTTGATTTCAGACCAATTCTCCAATTTGTCAAGGTCAATTGAATTCTAATCCTGTCCTCCAAAGTGCTGGCAACCTGTCCTAGTCTGATGTTATCTCCAAATGTTATAAGGTTGCTCTCCATTCCATTATCCAAGTCAAACAACAGTATTGAATAGTATCAGACCCAGGCCTGACTCCTGTGCAACCCTGCTAGATACGCCCTGCCTGTTTGACAGGGAACCACTGATATCCACTCTTTGAGTAGGGTCTTTTTCACCATATGTGCCCCCATCTGATAGTAATGACATCTAGCTCAAAGCTCGCTTTTAGCTGTGTGGTCAGGGCACTCCCCTGGGATGTGGGAAACCCAAGTATGAATCCCCACTCAGGAGCAGGATTTGAACCTTCTCCTCTGCCAGGGACATGCGCTCCCCACCAGTCTTTTAGCTGTTCTGGGGTGGGGTGCCCTCAGGGTCGCCTGCTGAAGCTCTTCTATTTTGTATAAATAATGAAATATTCAATAGTGCAGAGACTTGATCTTGATGCTGTCACCCCCCTGGTGAGGAGCCTAACCTCCAAGCTGCAGTGTCATTGTCTCCCCATTTTATCCTCTGGCCCAATGACTGTTCAAGTACTGTATACTAAGTGGGACAGGAGAGACAGAGAGGCCTGACCCCAGGCTAATGGTTCAGGTCAGGATGGTGGAGACCCGGGTTCAAATCCCTGTCCTGCAGACTCTCCAGCTAGGATTGTCTTAAGTGAGCATGCCAGCCAGTGGGCTAAAAGGGAAACCCCACCTTTGGCTATTTTATGAATCTAGCCCTTGGAAAATACTGTATTTCCAGTTGAACAACATGCTTTGTTTGATCCCAAACAGACTGTTTTGATTTGCAGAAATTTTTCAAATTCAGTTTGACCCAAACCAAATGTTTTATTTTCATTTTTTTGGAACTGCCAGCAAACCGAAAAGTCCCCCAGCCCCAATTGCATGGGGAGGGCAAGGCTGGGGGGGCTGAAGATCTGAAGGGGAAAGAAAGGCTGGAGTGCTGCTCCTGGTGAAGGGCTCCCTGAGATGTGGGAGGAGCACAGAGCTCCAGAATGAAAAGCCCCTTCTCTTGGCTCCTTTGACAGAGACCCTGAGCTGCTGTGGGCAGTGCTGTTTGCTCGCGACTGGGGCCTGTCCCCGAGGGAGCCTGACCTGTGTGTTTCTTGCTTCCCCCAGGCTTGCCGCGACTTCCTGGAGTTAGCCGAGAGCCACAGTCGGAAATGGCAGCGGGCTCTACAGTATGAGCGGGAGCAAAGGATCTGCCTGGAGGAGACCATTGAGCAGTTAGCCAAACAGCACAACAGCTTGGAACGGGCCTGCCGGGGAGCCCCCGGCCTGTCCTCGAGCGCCACAGCAGTCAGCAGCACTTCCAAGGGTGAGCGGCCTCCTTCCCCGGGGGCCCAGAGGGCTGGGACGCCAATGGCCTGGGTCCCGCCCGCCAGCCCAAGACCTCTGCTGCTGGGATGTCACAATGTGAGCTCTGCTGCTGAGATCTCACAATGGCTCCGGGGAGTCACTGACAGAGCCCAGCAGTATGGGGGCGGGGCGGGAGATGGGGCAGGAGGGATTGCCCTCTCGCTCGTTCCCAGTCAGCCACTGGTAGGGCACCAGCAGAGACGGGAAGGATGGGCAGGGCAGCCCATCATGCCCATGGATTTTTTCTCAGGTGAAAGCTCGTTGCGGGGTACGGGACAGGCATGGCCTGTGACAAGGCAGTAATACAGCTGCCTCCCTAGGAGCGGGTCTCCCCAGGGGAATCCCGCTCTTCCCGCCGTTGCCTCTACTGCGCATGAGAGCACTGGAGCCCTTTGCCCACCTCCCGTGGCTGGGGTCTCATCTGGGTTTCGTTTGCTGGTTGCAATCATTGCTGGAGAATAAAACCGAATTGCAGGTGATGCTGGTGCCAAATTGTCGTCCCCAGGCAGCCAGAAGGGTGTCTGGGTTCACCAGCAGCAGCAGGGTTTGGTTTCATTGTACCCCACAAATGGAGCCTTAACTGACCAGTAGCAGCTCATTCCTTGGCAGTGTCTAATGCCAGGCTGGGGCAGTTCCCTTGAGCCACGTTGGGGTCAGGGGAATGGATCCACTCAGATAAATACGTAACATTCAACCCCACCAGAGCCCTCCAGCGTAAAGGAGCCTCTCACTGTGATGCTCCGTAGCTGTAGGGCTCTCCCCACAGGGCAGTGTCATCACAACATTGGTTTGTGATGCAATGTAACAGGTGGCCTCCTGCCAGCAAGGAACATGGGGCATAAGTATATTCGCTCCTCTAGGGCCTTTGGCCCAAGTGGCTCAAAGCATTTGACATCCCTGGGAATGGTTTATTGTTCCCATTTCTGGAGGGGGAGGGAGCTGAGGCAAAGAGGCGAAATCACCTGCTGAGTGTCACAGAGCAAGGCAGTGGTACAGTAGGGAATCAATCTCAGGGATTCTGTTTTCCCCCATGCTGTGATCACTAGATCACACTCCCTTCAAGAGTCAGGATCTGAATCCAGACATCCTGACTCCCAGTCCCCTACTCTAACCACGCTGCCTCCAAGACCTAGGGATTTAACCTAAGAGCCCAGCTTGCCAGGCCCCTGCTCTGACCACTAGATCATACTCCTTCCCCATCAGGAAATTGAATGCAGGAGCCTTGACCTGTGGGTCCCCTGCTCCAGCACAAGAGTACGTTTCTCCTAGAGTCAGGAATAGAGCCCAAGAATGGTTCTGTCCCACACTGGGCCAGTCTGAGACATTATCCTCCTCCTCCAAGACTTTCTGATGTCTGGCTGCTAACTGGAGATACCTGCCTGCCAAAGGACAGTGAAAAGCACCTAGGAGCAGGTGTTTCATATCAGCAGAGGCCTCGAGTGCGGCACAAACTAAGCTGCATTTGCAGAGCTGGGCTATTTCTCAGATGGGAAGAGAAGACGTAGCCTGGGCTTAGCAGAAGCCCCATGCTGTGTACAGCCCCATCAGGTGCTGAAGGGGGACACACCAATCTATTTCCCGGAGTGTTGCTGTGGCCAAAAGGGCTAATGTAATCCTTGGGTGCATAAACAGGGGGATTTTGAGTTGGAGTAGAGAGGTCGTAGCACTTCCGTATTTGGCACTGGTGTCATTTTTGCTGGAATAAACTGTGGTCAGTTCTGGGGCACGTAATTCAAGGAGGATGTTGATAAATTGGAGACGGTTCAGCGAAGATCCATGAGAATGATTAAAGGATCAGAAGACCTGCCTTAGAGTGATAGACTCAAGGAGCTTGAGGTGTTTTGGTTAACAGAGAGAAGGTTAAGGGGTGATTTCATTACAATCTATAAATACTTGTATGGGGAACAAATATTGGATAACGGGCTCTTCAGCCCAGCAGAGAAAGGTCTAACAAGAGTCAAGGTCTGGAAGCTGAAGCTAGACAAATTCAGACCGGAAATGAGAAGTATGTTTTTAAGACTGAGGGTGATTAACCATTGGAACAATTTACCCAGGGGTGTGGTGATTCTCCATCACTGGCAATTTTTAAATCAGGAGTGGATATTTTTCTAAAAGCTCTGCCCTAGGAACTCTTATGGGGCAGGTCTCTGGGCTGTGCGATAGAGGTCAGATGATCACAGTGGTCCCTTCTGGCTGCACTGCATGGAGGGTGGAGAGGAGGTGTGCCACCCTAGCAGAGCTGGATGGCAGTATGATGTGTTTTGAAGGCTTACTGCCCCCGACACTGGGAGAAACATCCCCTGCTACACCTGGGTAACCAGCATAGCCATCATGGCTGGAAGGAGGCAGGGCTAGGAGCTGGTCCATGCCCCACCCACATTGCCCCTCTCTGGGGCCATTAGCTAGCACACAGTGCTGGGAGGCAGCTTGTAGCAGGGTGTGCTGGGGAGCAGCCCCTTGTGGGCCCTCTTTTCCCCCGCTAAAACACCCACATGGCATAGACATTTACCCCCAGTCCCCTCTTTAGGCTTCTGAAGATGCGCAGTGTGTCGTGCTGATTAGCACTGCCAGGGAAAATGTCACAGCACATCCCTTCCGTATGGATCCCAGTGAGCCAGGACCAAGCAAAGAGAAGAGAACAGATTTCCTTTGGGGGATGGGAGAGCAAAATGCAGCTTGCTGGCTGGAGAAGGTGCATGGATAGCACAGTGTCTGGGTCTTCATTGCAGATTCTTCCCTTGACCTACCTCCTGCCTCTCGGAGGGATGGATTAGCTACAGGAACGGAATAACCCCTCCTGTCGATGCAGGAAGTGCCCATGCTATGGCGTCGTAACTGCGCCGCTGTAATGGCGGCTGTCGTGTAGACTTGCCCAGAGCCTGTTTACATGGTGCATTCGGCAGCACGTCGTGTGTCGTCATTTCGCCCCAATAGGCAGCAGGCCCAGCTGGTTGCGATGCCTGGAGTCCCAGTTGCTTCTGTCTTTGTTCCATTTTTCAGTTGCTCCTAACTTTGTCAGACTTGAACCATTGAGCTGAAAATTGCCTGCCGGGTCTCTGATTTGTAACGCAATAGCAACCAGCGGCCCCCAGTAGAATCGGCGCTGCTTGGTGCCATACAAAGACACAGGAAGACCATGTCCCTTCCCCCAAAGACCTGACAAGGCCTGAAACAAGGGGGAGCAAGTGCCCGTGTTCCACCGTGGGAGCAAAGCGAGGAGGGAGGCTGGGTAAAGGCCACTGTAGCATGTGGACACCACAGGAGTCATTCCGCAATTTCACAGCTCCAAATCATTGGAGGTGGTTGTTTCGATCAGCTCTCCCCAAATGCCCCAGGCCCAGCTGTCTTTGGTTGGCTGATTTCTTGTAGGAGGTGGGCCTGAGGAAGGATTGGAAGGATGAGAGGGTTGTAGCCTTATGGCTCAGCTCCTGGAGGGGGTTCCATGCATCAGGAAGGGCAGCGTGGAGAAGTGTGTTGGAGAAGGCGCCAAATGGCATCCAAGGCCGGCCTCAGTGGCAGAGCAGAGGGAGAGGCAGAGTTACAGTGATCCCAAGAAGCTCGATCTTGATGCTGGTGAAGTGCTCAGCTAGTCAGCTAGGATGTGACTCTTAGTAGCTGTGTCTTGTATCGACTGGAGGGTGTGCCATCAGAGCGCCCGCCCAGAGGAGTGTTAATGGTCAGTGTGGGGGATGATGGGGTGCTGGTGTCTGAATGGAGGAAGGGTCAGATCATAGCTCTTGAGGGAACAAACAGCAGCAGGGTTTGGAGTCCCTGGGCAGGGCTGCTGGAACAATGTGTATAGTGGGCGGGGCTGAGAGCCATTGGCTCAAACTGCAAACTCTCTATATGATGGAAACCACTTGAAGCCAGGGGGTGCTGCAGCACCCCTAGTTCTAGCCCCTGTGTCTCTGGGCAGGCATGTTCCCTGTTATTGGTTCAGATCTCTCAGGGAAGAACATTTTTTAAACATAAGCAAACGTTGTTATAAATCCCTCCCGCCCCCCCGCCCCCCCCCCCCCCCGGCAAATAGCAGGGGCCTTGGGGACAGCCCCAAAAACGCCATTAAACTTGTTGTTTGAGATTGACTAGATTGCCAGTTGAACGTGTCTGTTTTGAAATTTGAACCATATTTGATGGGACACACCGGTCACATGGTAAACTTCCAGCTGAATCCAGGCATTGATGGCGTCTGTGAGGCACTCATCACCGTGGTACCAAAGCGTTTTGTGCCCTGATTGGGCAGGAGCAAAGTCTGCCTAGCAGTGTCCCCCTCATTTTTCCCACCCACGTGCGGAATTAATTTTGTTATGTGCAGCAATAGGGAGGTGTTGTGTGACACGTGACCTTCCTATGGGTGCACATAACATTCATGTGGTGGGGGTGGGGCCGAGGGGTTCAGAGTGTGGAGGGGGCTCAGGGCTGGGACAGAGGGTTGGGGTGCAGGGGGGTGAGGGCTCTAGCTGGGGGTGCCAGCTCTGGGTTGGGGCTGGGGATGAGGGGTTTGACGTGCAGTGGGGCTACGGTGGGGAGAGCGGACCCCCCCCAGCTCTCTCACTGCAGCAGCTGGGCTGGGGGAAGAGGTGTCTCCCCAGCCGCAGCAGGCCCAGGGCCAGGCCAGGCCAGAGGAGGGGCGGCTGTTCCCCAGCCGCGGCAGATCCAGGGCTGGGGCTGGGGCTGGGGCTGGGGCTGGGGCTGGGCCGGCGGGGAGAGGCAGCAGGTCTGGGGCTTGGGGAGAGGCATCTCTCCCCGCTGTGTGGCACTTAATAGGCAGCTGCGCAGTCACGCAGCTTAGGGGGAACTTGGCTACCCAGCTCCACCAGCACCCTTCAGCCAGCATAACGCTGGGCGTGAGAGAGGAGAGGGAAGGGGACAGACAGACAGCACCATGGGGCAGGGGGGAAGAGCGAAGGTCTGTGGGGATCCATTGGGGCTGTGGTCTGGGAGCAGATGTTAATGCTCTGTGTGAGCAGGCAGGGGAAGATGCGGCGCTGACCGGGTTGTTCTTTGTGCCCACAGGGAGTGTGCCGCCTGCCAAAGGGGAAGCCAGTGATGAAGATGAGGAGACAGAGTATTTTGATGCCATGGAGGATGCACCAGCTTTTATCACAGTAGCCGCAGACCCCAAACATCACAGGTATGAAGCTACCCACAGTGTGGTGCAGGCCCAGAGCCCACCGCATGAATAGGAAGAGTGGGGAGGAGGCACTTAGGCTGGCTTCTCACGAATAACGTAGAGGCAGCATCCTCTTGGTTTGCATTAATCACACCCACCCTTTCAGGTGGGTCAGCTGTGTGGGCAGGCAGCAAGAGGTTTCAAACATCAGTGCTGGCCAGTGGCCTAGAGTGTGGAGCCCTCTCCCCCTGGCAGGGCAGAGTGCCCTCAGACAGAGCCACCAGGCCCCTTCTTCCTGGACTGGAGGGATAGCCTCTGGCTGGCTCTCTCCTCTCCACCAGGGCTGGTCAGGGCCACTGGCAATGTTTTTGCAGTGTGGACTCTGCCCACTCGAAACTGGATGGAGACCCGCCAACCCGCTGTGCATGAGGCAAAGAGCCGTGATCAGGAGGGAACAGCATGGGCTGGATTTGAAATAGCCACAGAGGTAAATGGCTCCCTATCCCGGACCCAATGGCCTGGTCTGTCCCCCCGAGGCCTCATTAGGAATGTGGGATTTACCAAGTGTGAGGACAAGTTTCTAACTCGGTAACACAGGCCCAGAGCCTCCAAGTCATCTAGGCTCCCAACTTCCAGAGAGCTCAGTGGAGCTTAGGAGTCTGTCTACCTGTGAGGATCTGGGCTGGAGTCCATGGCACGGGGGAGTTTTCAGAAGTCCGAGATCCCAGGCCAGAGAGCACTGGGGACAGAGGGCAGCAGCTGCCCTGGCTCCTGGGGCTCTGGGGGAAACAGCTGCTCCGCGCAACAGCACCCACCAGGCTGGGCCTGTGTCATTGGACCCAGTGCGTGGCAAGTGTCGCGTGCTGCCATTCTCACTGGGCAGCACTGCACACCCACTGCCTTGGTAGCAATGAGTGCACGAGATGGAGGGGAACAGGGAATCCCTGAGGACAAGCAAGGCCTGCTTTGGGACTGGTTCCCATGCAGGGTCACAAGCGGGAGATGCACTGTGCCCTCTCCCTCCTTCTCAGGAGCCACGGGGACTGGGCCCAGCCTGTCCCCCCTTTCACAGCCACTGGGGTCTGGTTTGCAAACAGGGAGGAGGCCCTATTTATCCAGGAGCCCAGACTCCTCCCACTTTCCCAGCCTGCTCGGGAGGAACTGCAGCGCCCAGCTTGCCTTCGGAGGCCTCCATCTTCTGTAGGGAGGGCTGGGAGGAAATGGCTTCTCCTGTATTCTAATGCTTTGGCCCCGGTGAGTTCTTCCAGGGAACACTCCCTATTCTGGACCCCCGCAGCCTTGCAGAGCAGGCCCCCAAGCCAAGGTAATCAGAAGCAGAGCTGCTGCTGGCCCAGGGCACTCTGATGGCCCAGGATCAATTATCTGCTCTGCTACAGGCCCCCTGTGAGAGCTTGGGAAAGTCACTTAGCTTCTCTGGGCCTCAGTTCCTATCCATCTGTGGGGATAAGCCCAGCCCTGCCTGGAGGGCTGTGAGGCTAAATCCATTAGAGACTGTGAAGGGCTCTGAGCCTTTGGTGGTGGGGGCCACAGGCATACCTATGATGGAGCCAGGAGCAAGAACTTAGGTTGCCTGGCCTCCCCAGACCTGAGCTTTAACCACTAGACTGCACTTCCTACCTAATCAAACCATGGCGATGGGGGCCAGAGCTTGAGGAGGGCACAGTGATCTCTCTTAGTGAGAGACCTGCCGGCACCAGGAAATGTCTCCCACCTAGCTCTATTTACAGTAAAGAGACAGACTGTTGAAAAGCTGGGCCCAAGTGTGATTTGCAAACCAGTTTGGCTTCAGTTTCAGAGGGCCTGGTGATGAGATTAGGCACAATAGATCCTAGATCTGGGAATCGGGATCTTTAAGGGCTTGGAAGTGAGTTTTAGAAAGATCCTTTCCAGCAATGCACCTTGGTGTGCACTCGCTGACCCACAGGAGCAGCTGGCTTCATCGCAAGAATGAAAAGAAATAAGAACCTCCGGCATGTTTGCATACTGAGCTCCATCTATTGCAGCCCCCTTGCAATATCCTGAGGGTTAAATCAGGCCCCAGCATGGCCAGAGCAGCTATTCCTGTTCTGTTCTGTGCCTGCTTGCACCCATGCCCTCTGCCTCGGTCTTCCCTGCAGGCGTTCTGGCAGTAACCTGAGCGGGGCCAGCGAGGGGCACCCTGAGGACTGGAACCTGGAGGACAATGTGAGTGCATCGGGCAGATGGTGCTGGCAGAAAGTAATGACAAGGGGCAGGCCCCAGGGGACGAAGGCAACTTGGGGAAAATCCCCGTCCGATTCCCTCGCAGGGCAGTAGAATGGGCCATAACGGAGGAGATGGGAACTGAAGTCTCAGTTACAATATTCCAAGTGTGTCCGTTCAGCAGGGAACAAGTGGGAGCAGAGGGGAGAATAAGATGGATCAGCTCCCCCCCAGCGCTCCCCGCACTTCACACAGGATCAGCCGTAGTTCTGGTGATACCCCTCTGCCCCAAAGAGTCTTCTCCCTCCACCGGTGGCTTTGCACTGGGGCCAGGTTGGTGGCGCCAGGGGGCTGAGTGCGGCTACCCGGCCATATCTGCCTACATGTGGTCCTCCTGAGCCTTTCTTGTGAGGAAATGCCCTGGCGACCTGGAAAGCCAGCCCAGTACACGCACATGTTAAGCAGCACCTGTACTGTTGTCGAGCAGATTTCTGCCCAGCCCGCCAGGCCTTTCCTGAGAACAAGCAAAGCCGCCTGCTGGGGGACGTTCTGGGTCTGAGCTGCACATGCCCTGCATGGTGAGAGGCCAGATCCCAGGAGTGATACCTCAAGAGCTGACTGTCACCAGCCGCCAGGTTTCCATGGTTGGTTAGGGTTGCCAACTTTCTGATTGCAGAAAACCGAACACCTGGCCCCCGAGGTCTCACCCCTGCCCTGTCCCTTCTCTGAGGCTCCGCTCCTCCCTCTGTGGCTCACTCTCCTCACCCCCCACTCGCTCATTTCCCTGGGCTGGGGCAGGTGGTTGAGGTGTGTGGGGGGTGAGGGCTCCGGCTGGGAGTGCAGGCTTCAGTATAGGGCCAGAAATGAGGGGTTTAGGGTGCGGGAGGTGGCTCTGGGATGGGGCAGGAGGTTGGGGTGTGGGCTCCAGCTGGGGGTGCAGGCTGTGGGGTGGGGCCAGGGGTTGGGGCATGGGAGGGAGTGCAGGGTGCAGGCCGAGGAGGGAGGTGGGGTGTGAGAGGGGGCTGAGAGCTGGGGCAGGCAGTTGGCATGCAGGAGGGAGTTGGGGTGCAGGAGGGGGCTCAGGGCTGGGGGAAGGGGTTTGGGGTGCGGTGCAGGTTCCAGGTGGTGCTTACCTGAGGTGGCTCCCGGAAGTGGCGACGTCCTCTGGCTCCTAGGCACAGTGGCAGCCAGGGGGGCTCCACACATTGCCCTAGCCGGCACTTGGGGTCGGGGCAGTGCGTGGAGCCTCCCTGGCTGACCCTGCACCTAGGGGCCGCAGGGACATTTTGCCACTTCCGAGAGCCGCACAGAGGTAGGGCAGGCAGGGAGCCTGCCTTAGGTCCGCTGCGCCACCGACCGGACTTTTCATGGCCCAGTCAGCGGTGCTGACCAGAGCCGCCAGGGTCCCTTTTCGACCAGGCGTTCCAGTCGGAAACCGGATGCCTGACAACCCTACGGTTGGTTGAGCTGTCTCTTTGACCCTAAGATTGCTGCTTCCCCAGGTCTTTGAGAGCGCAAATAAAACTGGCTACAATGAATCAACGGGCAAAGACGTCCTGCCGAAGAAGAGGAGACGAACGCGCATCCCAGACAAACCCAACTACAGCCTTAACCTCTGGAGCATAATGAAAAACTGCATTGGCAAAGAACTGTCCAAGATCCCTATGCCTGTACGTGAGTGCTTCCCCACTCTCGCCTGCGCCGCACCCGATCTGAACGCTGCTTTCTGTCAGTATTTTGGTCAGACATTATGAAAGGGCCTGATCCTGGGAGGTGACGAGCTAGGGGTACTTGGTGTCTGCCAGGATCAGGCCCCAAAGAAGGAAATCGGAGGCAGTGCTGAACTGCAGAGGTAGGGCTGGGGGCACCAGCATTCTGGGTCAGGCTGGGTTCACCACTGAGCAGCTAAGGCTCCATGAAAGGGGGAGAGCTGTGTTTTCTCTCTTCCTGTTGGAGAAGGAGGTAACGGAAGCTGCCGAGACCTGGGCATTGGGAAGTAGCTGACAGCAGCAGAGCTGCAGCTGCACACAAGCCTTGAGCAGAGTCTGACTTTTGCATTGTGAGACACTTTAATCGGAAAAGAAATAGAATGATTCCTTGTGTGTTTCCAGTGCTCAGATGACAGTTGCCCCCCAGCAAGCCTGTCTCAGGGCAACTGCCATTGCTTGGGACCCTTCAGCGGAGCGAATTTGCATTGCCAATTGTTTTTGGCAGTTGGCTCTTGTGACTCTCTTATTAAGAGGATTCAAGCAAGTCAGCTGTGCAGTGCAGTCTGATCCTATCTGCCCCGACCCTGCCTGCCTCGTGCGCAGGAGTTAGGAGCAGCAGAGGGATTACGTCCTGTTGGTGGGTTTGCTGGTTTGAATGGATTTTCCCATGTGGGTGATGGGGGACAGGGAAGGAGACTACTCTGCCTGTAAACTGGGTTTCTGGATCCCCTGCACCAGCCTGGACTCATGGGTTTGCTCCTCACCTTCTGAAGGATAAAGCAGAGGGGCTGTAGTGAAAGCAGAGTTTGCCCTACAGCATAGCATCGGGGGAGGGAGGCTGTCACTGACGCCAAATGCTCTATGGAAAAACCTTCTGTGATGATGTGGGGGAAGGATAGCTCAGTGGTTTGAGCACTGGCCTGCTAACCCCAGGGTTGTGAGTTCAATCCTTGAGGGGGCCATTTAGGGATCTGGACCAAAAATTGGGGATTGGTCCTGCTTTGAGCAGGGGGTTGGACTAGATGACCTCCTGAGGTTCCTTCCAACCATGATATTCTATGATGGACCTGGCTTGATCTCCTCCCACCTCTACATGGAGCACTGATCTCTTCCCAGATGGGAGGCACTGGCCATGGGCAGTGCTCTATGGGATTGTTTTTCAGCACTGACAATGGTGTCAGCATCCCCCTGTTTGGGTCACGTATCCCCTGTGCCGTGGGGAGGGTCTGAAGTTACTTACTCCTGTCGGAGGATTGTTTACAGCCATCTGCTTTCAGGTCCCCTTCTCAAAGTGCTTTCCTCTGTAGAAAAGGAAAGCAGAATCCTATCTTGACAGTAAAGTTTCCAGTTCCTACTCTGAACCAGGAAACCTCTTTGTGGAGTCCGCAGCTGCATTGCCGGTGAATTGTCCCAGTTGGGGGAGAAGAATTGCTTAGGTCTAGGTAGGTGACACTGGAATTCATGCTTTAGAGAGCTCTCTGAACCACTGAGCAAAGCTCCTAGGGTGCGTGACATGCTGAGGGACATTCCCGAGCCCGTTAGATGTGGTTCTGCTTTGGAGATTCCACCACCTCCCTAGGTAATGCATTCCAATGCTTCACCATCCTCCTAGTGAAACTTTTTCCTAATATCCAACCTGAACCTCCCCCACTGCAACTTGAGACCATTACTCCTTGTTCTGTCATCTGCTACCACTGAGAACAGTCTAGATCCATCTTCTTTGGAACCCCCTCTCAGGTAGTTGAAAGCAGCTATCAAATCCCCCCCCCCTCATTCTTCTCTTCCGCAGACTAAATAATCCCAGTTCCCTCAGCCTCTCCTCATAAGTCATGTGTTCCAGACCCCTAATCATTTTTGTTGCCCTCCACTGGACTCTTTCCAATTTTTCCATATCCTTCTTGTACTGTGGGGCCCAAAACTGGACACAGTACTCCAGATGAGGACTCCCCAGTGCCAGGGCCCAGCAGGAACCACGGTTCTTCTTGCTTGGCCCTGGCAACAAAGGGACCTGCGGGATGCTCTTAAACACCTTGCTGAGCAGTGCCCATGGGAGACACTAGGCTTTGGGGACTGGTGCTGACCCAGATAAAATCCTGCCCTTAGTGTTGCCCAGGAACCCATCCCCAAATTGCATCAGAAAAGGCACTTTGCAAAGGAAAATTGCCTTGTATGGGTGGCTGATTCTGCATCTCCTGCTGGCCGGCCCTGTAAGCACCATTCCTGGGACACGGTCATGGTGCGGTCTGACCAGTCTCCATTTGAAGATTAAGCACTGCCAGGCTCAGGAGTGAAAATGCCCATGGCCGCTGGAGAGTTCCAGCAGCGAATGTAGGTTATCGTGGCCTGTCAGAGGACAGAACTAACCTGAGAACTATTGTTCCAGTCAGGAGAGAGCTTGCACGGTAGCCATATAGCCAAAGTCCAGCTCTTACAGAACTCACTGACTCCTCCCCCCAGGGTCAGAAGGGCAAATGCCCTGTTATGGCAGCTTGTGCATTTTGTTGGGGAAAACACCCGTTATCCCTCCTGGGGGCTGTGCCTGTATGTGGTCTAACAGCCTGTGTGGCACTAAGTGGTAGATCTCCATCCCTTTCCCACAGTGTTCTCCAGCAGATACACCACAGTCCTGGGCAGCCCATTAGACTCTTCTGCAATATCCATTTCAGGGGAAAGTTTGAAGTGTACAGGAATGTGCCTAGACCTAATGGAATGGTGTAAAAATACCAGCAGCTGCTGCATCTGCAGTTTGGAGCAATTTATACCTTTCCTGTCCATCAGAACATCCCGGGAATTACTTATGCAGAGTCAGGAATGTGAGAACAATATGCGCTGCCTGCCCCAATAACGTCATCTGTCAGCCTGTGGGAATTAATTACAATAAGCCCCAACAGGGCAAATTAATCCACACAGCTTCCCCAAGTTGCTGTCCCCAGTAAACTGTACATTAACCCCTGTGCTGTAAACAAACCGATGGGACCTAACAGTGACCACAGCTGCCTGTCCTCCCCCTCCATCAATACACTCAGCATCCTCAGCACAAAGACCTAGTTCTGCGAGGCACTGAGCTCCCATTTGAAGTCTGGGGAGGGCTGCCCCAGTTACCGTCATTTGAGATATTTACTCTGAGAACAATAAACTCTTGGGGAAAGGCTGCAATCGTAAAGGGCAATTTAAAGCCAGTATCTGTGATGCATTTGCTTCTAGTGCAGTACAAATCAGCAGGAGGTTGCAATGGACTGATCTGGGTGCTGTGCATTAGTGTCAGAGTCCTTTGTTATTCCCAAGTTAATAGCGCCAGGATAGTGAATGTGAGAAATTCTTAATGTCTTATATGCACTTCTAAATATTTCCCGGGCTGGTTCTTTTGTTCCCTAGTCCCCATTTGCACACCAGTGGCAGATGTAAGGAGCTTAATAGATCTTCCGTTCCACAGAGACAGGTTTCAGAGTAGCAGCCATGTTAGTCTGTATTCGCAAAAAGAAAAGGACTTGTAGCACCTTAGAGACTTTTCTTTTTGCCATTCCATAGAGCATTTTTCCAGACCCCATCTCCTCCCTATATGACCTGAGAGATTTGAAATCTTTCTGGGCAATTGAACAGGTGCCTGCAGATGTTCATTGTGAGTTGATATCTCTGCAGTCTCAAAATGGAATGTGCAATAAATCAGCTGTGGGAGTTTTGCATTTTTGATGGATTAAACTTTATTCATCAGTGGGAAGATTTTTGATTTCCCATTGAAAGTGCAATGTTGTTGGAGCAGCTGTTGGGTTGGTTCTGGTACTGTATGTTGGAATGGATCAGTTTGCCTGATTTCTCTTCAGCGACTTCTCTCAAGGTGGTAGAGCTTTGCCCATTTTGTAAAGGCTGTATTGTAAATGTGCAAGGAAACCAACCTTTTCGACACAGCCGATTAACTCTTCCTTTAGCTCTCTACCTCAAAGTTTTGAGGATGCTCTAAGGATCCTATTGCCTATATCATAGAATATCAGGGTTGGAAGGGACCTCAGGAGGTCATCTAGTCCAACCCCCTGCTCAAAGCAGGACCATTTAGGATATGCTAAATCTCAGAGGGACACTGACCAGATTTTAAGAAATATGTACATAAAAATAAACTAGGGCTGAGGGGGAAGCGGTTTTCCCATCTCACGAGAATTTGAGATTTAAAACATTTTTCCCATACCAAATCAGGACAAAGCCAAATCTTCTCAAATGGACCATCTGATTTGGGTCAATTGACAATTTCAATTTTGACCACTCTTCTTTACGCTTTTCACTATAAATGAAGTTACATTTTTAAAAGAAAAGTTTATTCTGAACAAAACCCCCCAAACTTTTTGTTTATAAAATGTTGACACAAGACATCTTAACAATTTTGATACATTTGTGTCTGTGGTTTTCAGGTCAAAACTGACCCTTTCCCATTAACCGTTCCAGTGAATTGGCTTTTTCCTTTTTGTGAAAAAACATGTAGTCAAAACCCTGGCCAGCTGTAATAGTGCAGCGTAGGTGTAGATGTGTCAGCACCAGGATACTAGAGAGATAAGAGTGACCCGAAAAAGAGTTCTGTGTGGCTTGAAAGCTTGTCTTACTGGACCAACTTCTGCTGGTGAGAGAAAGATAGGACCTCGCCCACCATGTCTCTGCTGTAATTGTAACATGGTCTGATCAGTTTCTCTTTTGCTTTTAGTTAGTTTCATGTTCTGGTTCTTAGGCACTAGCCTGGTGCTAACACTGCAGAGGACACTTAACTTTTTTTTTTTAAACTTATATTTATTGGAAACTTTTTAAAATTTCATGGTAACATTTCTTTTGGTCTTAGGTTTTCCTGAAGCTGTTTTTTTTTTCCCAGCATCAACTTTCAGGGGTAGACTTGCTCTGACAGTGTTGCTTTAAGAAAGAGACCCACGATCAGATCTCTACAAATAATGATTCCAGAATATTTCGCTGCGTTTAGCAAGAGCATCATCCTTCCAGTTTAGTGGGATAAGCAAAAGAAGGAATGATTTTAGCTGCATGCAGGCTGCAGCTGGAGTGGAGAGAGCTCTGGACCCAGAGGAGGTGCTGGGCTGAGGATTTAATTGCTGGTTATTTATAGAAGCAGGGAGAGGGGAGTAATTAGCTGTGCAACAAAAAGTTAGGTGTGTACATGTAGTCTCCCCTCTCCCCATATGCCTCGTGCTGCTGCAGGATGTCCAGCCGTGATCCCTTCTGCAGCATGGCATCAGGCTTGAGCTCCAGCTCTGTCTATCAAACATGTTTGGCAGGAAGAGCGAGTGTGGAATTATTCAGGTGACCTGCAGAGGCAGAAATTTGCGAAGGCAGAAGAGTCGTCATCTTGGCCTCAGCCCTGAAGTGAGACACCTGCACTCTGCTAGCTGCCACCATTGGGTCTGTGATGAATGATGCAAGGGGGATAGAAGCAGAGCGCACAGCAGCAGCATTTCCCTGCTCCCAGCCCCACCGTTACAGTAAATAGATCTCTGACTCGCTCCTTGTACCTCTTCCCTTTTGATGGCTCTCTGTTCACTGTGTCTCACACCTGAGATCTAGGCAGGGCAGAAAGCCCAGCTTAATCACTGCCAGTATCTGGAATTCAAGGATGTCAGATCACTAAGCCATTGTTATTTAAATCTTATTAGAGAGAGTCCTTTCAAAGCTGTGGCTCTCTGGACTATCTCAAAGCTCTCTGTTTTCCTATGGAGGTCTTTCTAGGCTGAAGATCTGCCCCAGTTCCAGCCCTCGGTGCAGCTACACAATCACAAACCTCCAGTGCAGACAGGCAAGCCCATATTGCACCAGGAAGCTGAGCTCTGCTATAAACCAGGGCAAGCTGCAGAGGTGCAAATCATGGCATAGAGCAAATGATTCTCAACAGGGGGTCCACGGACTATGTCTAAGGGGTCTGCGAAAGATTTAGACTGAAAACTGACTGAACAGAATTCAACTCTATGTATAGACGATCGATTTCCAATGGGGTCTGCACCTCATTTGAAATTTCCAAAGGGGTCTGCAAATGAAAAAAGGTTGAAAAGCAAGGGCATAGAGCATCCTTGCCCGTGTGTGCTAGGGATTACATTGATGCAGCTCTGCTGGTTGCAGTAATAGGAGCTAATGTGCAGTGCAGAGAGTGCCCTGGAGAGGGACTCTTTTCCAGTGTTGGATAGTTCAGGTTGGTTCACCTCTAGCTCTGCACTAGGTAGGCTTGGTACCTGGCTTTTCAAACTGCCTTACTTTTAAAACCTGGAACGTTCTCCTGGAACCTGCCGTTAACCACCTGGCATCACATCCCCTCTGTCCCCTGGCCCAGGAGTTGTGTACTCAGCTTGAGGACCCTCTGGAGTGTGCAATCATGTACTAGAATGAAGGGGGAATTGGTGCACTGCTTCCCTCTAATTTTGTGTGGCCCAGGAAGCAGCTGGTTTTCATCTTGCTATTAATAAAGCTGCAGGCCGGGCTGGGCTGGCAGCCTGTTTGTGGGCGATCAGACTCGAGCTGCTGAGTGAGTCTGGCAATGGCTGGAGGCCTCTGTCTATGGTCCTTGAGTAACCCCGTCGTGCTGACACGGGAAGCGGTGCTGAGTGAGAGGGGCCTGCCCTCGGCCAGGGAAAGGCTCCTTGGGGGTGGGTTATAAATAGAAGCTAGCCGGTGGTGGAGGATGCCAGAGCTCTGTTCCGCACAGAGTATATTCCCTTTGCTGAAATGTTTCACGTCTGAGGATTGGTGTTGGTATTGACACAGATCATTTTGCCTGAGTGCTCTGAAGAGGGGATGTTTCAGTGGTCTCTGTGTTTCTGGCCCTAAAGAATGAATTCCCCTGTTCTTCCCCCAGAGACAGACACTCACTTCCCTGCTAATGTGCCTCGGCCCAGACCTAGAGGGACGCCCTCTACAAGCGTCAGGTCTCGGGCCCATTGACTTCTTGACTCTCTTCTGAGCCGGTTTGGCCTGGGTGACTGGTGCCAGTTCTAGCTCTCGAGGGGAAAGTGTCTGTGCGCGCAACACAGGATGCAGCTGAGAGTCAGTCCGTGCGGGTCTCCAAGTCCCAGGTCACACTGTTCCCTGCTGATCCTGGCCATGCTAGTCAAAGCCCCCCCCAGCCCTGGTGATGTGATGCAGAGCCTAGGAGCCAGGCATGAACCACCCTCTTCACCTTAACACTAGAGTTAAACTGAGAGGGCAGCCTGGGCAACTCACTGTGTCTGAGCAGATCTGGCCTCCCCCGGCAGGTACCCCTTCACTCCACCCACCTGGCAGCAGTCCCCAACCGCCTTGCCATTCATTGGTAGCAGCCGCCCACACACACTGTTGCACTGTTTTAAGTGAGGTTTCCTGCAGCTCCCACATGGAGGGGGATGGGAAAATCCAGACTAAGGAGGGGAAGAGACTGTAGAGTGAAGCACAAGGAGCCAGGGCTGGATTGACCTTCTGTGGGCCCGGCGCCAAACTTATTTGTGGGCCCCCATGGAGGCAACAGAGCCTGGCGTGGGGAGGTCAGTCCCTGGAGCAAGGGGCCAGCCAGGGGCAATGGGGCATGGCATGGCAGGGGTGGCCCTGCTCCACCCAATGCAAGGGCACTATTTACAAATGGGCAGTTGCCCCACGCACAGTGGCCTGCCTGGCCCTGTGCTGCCAGCATGCCCCTTCCCCTTGGGGGCAGGCCCATGCCACCCCACACAACCCACCCACCAAACACCCCCAACTCCCTATGGCCAGAGGCCCCCAAGACCCAGCCAGCGGGCGGGCCGAAAGGAGCAGGTGGTGGGTGGGGGAGCCAGCGGGATCACAGGGTGCAGGGCAGGTGGAGCAGGCTGGGGCCCCCTTGGAGCATGAGCCCGGCTCCATGGAGCCACTGGAACTATTGTAAACCCGGGACCGCAAGGAGCGGAGCTGGGTGGCAGTGCGCTCAGTTTGCTCTGGCGAATTAGAGCGTTCCCTTCCTCTCCAGATCTCTGTTCAGGACACAGTCACCTTGGAGAGGCTGAGGGCTGAGCACTGGAAGCCCGGAAGTCGGAGGTTACCTTGAAAATTATATGTGTGGGAGAGCAGTGTGTATGGGGATGGACGTGCAACGCGACACAGTGGGACAGCAGCTAGGCCATAGTCTACCTGGAGATCACTGACTGCCGGTGTCTTTGACGGAAGCCCATTGCTCACCCGTTAGTGCACGTGCCTAACTGTCTATTCCCCCTGCATTAGGTAAACTTCAATGAGCCACTTTCCATGCTGCAGAGGCTGACCGAGGACCTGGAATACCACGAGCTGCTGGACAAAGCTGTGAAGTGCGAGAGCTCCACCGAGCAGATGTGTTTCGTTGCTGCATTTTCAGTGTCTTCCTACTCGACGACTGTGCACCGCACTGCGAAGCCGTTCAACCCCCTGCTGGGGGAAACATACGAACTCGACCGGCTAGATGAGCTTGGCTTCCGATCGCTCTGCGAGCAGGTATGGGCAGGGCTGCGGGAAAGGGGCTCTTCATCTCAGTCTTTCAGGAGCACTGTTGCATTCCTCGAAGAGCAGTTCCCTGGGGCTCCCCTGTTCCACACTGGCCCTGCTTCCACTGCAGTCAATCTGCATTTGTTATTGCTATGAATGGGCCCAGCAGCGGATCCTACACAAGTGACCCTTTCCGATGGCAGAAGCAAAATGTGCATTCCCCAGGGTAACAGGGTAGAAATGGTGGGGAGACCAGGGGGAGGTGGGAGCCTCTTCCAACCTATCGCAGTTTTAACTAGCTGGACATAAGTACCAAATTGCCAGCCCTGGGTCTGGGATGAGCTTGCACATGGAGCTTTGCAGCTAAATTCTCCACAGATGTGTTGTCTCTGTCAACAGTTGTGCTTAATCTGTAGGCCCAAACGTGAACTGGTTTTGTGTTTCCGTTGTGGAGGGGAGTGCTCCTGATTGTTCAGAACCTAACGTCAGGATACATTCAGTTAAATCTGGTTCGGAGCAATAGTTCCCATATGTAAAATGCGTGAGGCCCCCCACTGTATAAACCTGGCTGTGCCTCCATCCTCTGCTCCCAGGGTCTGACGGGAGCTGCCATTTGCTCCCTTAGGAGCAGGCACAGGGCTGGTCACAGGGATCTGCAGGGGACAGAACCGGATACCCGGTGGAAGTCAAGGAGCAGGCTCATGCAGTGACACCCCCAGGAGGCTAAAGGGAGCCCAAAAGTTTCCCTGGCATCACCAGCTGGGCTTCCAAAGGCTGCCCAGCCGAGCTATTGGGCAGGTGGGGGTGTGGTGTTCAGTAATGCCCACAGAGTACATGGATGGTGCAGGGAGCAGGAGGATGGTGACTGATCATAGTGAAAGCCAGGGAGCGTTTGGGGGAAGGCCAGGAGTTCAGCTTTGGCCATGCACAGCTTGAGTGAGCAGCAAGACACCCAAGAGTAACCCCAAGAGGGAGGTGTCAGCCAGGCAGGCCGGGAGGCGGAATTGGATGGAAGTGACAGATCAGGTGTGCTGAGCCAATCAGGCTAGAGATGGTAATTGGAGTGCGAGAGCATGAGGTCACCCAGGAAGAGGGTGTAAAGCGAGAAGAGGAGGGCAAGGTTGGGGCCCTGTGGGACCCCCGGAGCATGAGAGAGAGGAGGAGAAGGACCTACCAGCAGAGATGCGGAAGCAGCAGGAGCACGGGTGGGACACACTTTAATTGAAACTGAAAGAAGAACACTCCTTGTGATGCCAAAATTGTCCCAAATGACAGAGGAAATGAAGAAAACAGCAAGGAGATGGTCATCCCATGGAATCTTGGCGAGAAGGTCACTGCCCCCCAGGCAAGGTGGGTCTCTAGTTTCTCTCCCTGAGGTGCCAGCCGTGCAGTGCCAAAGCCAGTCTTGTGAGTTCTGCTGTAATTGTCTGTGTGCGAGGATGGGCGGCGATCATGTGACTCTCACAAACGTGCCCGGTGCGTGGAGGATGTTGTCTTCCCAGCCTGTGGCAGGAACGATGACTCGGTCACTGGTGGCCACTGTGGGAAGTGATGTTGATTCCAGTGGGGAGTAAAAAGCCATGGCAAGGAATGGCCTGAAACACTCCTTCCCCTCTGCATTCCTTCAGCATCAAGGGAGCGCTGCCCCAGAATGCTTAGGGGCTCCGTCGCCTAGTGGCTTCATGCTCCCACTGTGTAGCTCTCGCGCTCTGTATTCAATCCGAACTGGCTACAGGCCAGCAATAAAACAGGCCAGATAGGCTCATCTCTGCCGTGAGACCATCGGCCTTTGGGACGGGGTTTCATCTGACGTTTGAGCAGAATGGGAAATAGCAGTGAGGGCGAAACTCTGCTACAGCTGAACTGTTCGCATAAACTGCTGCCTTTTGAAATCTCACAGAGAGGCACGTTTAACAAGCTGGTTCCTCTCTGCTCCGAGTGTCTCTGCAGAGCTGGATGGGGCTCGGTAGTTTTCTTTGTCCTTGTCTTGGAATGAAAAGGTTTCATTGCATGGCCCTGACACAAATGAAGATCCTCGAGCTTCCCAGTGTATCCAAGGCTTGCCTGTCGAGCAGAAGGTCTTAATTAAAACCTGGTGAGCTTAATTAGTTGAGATCTATAAAGAAAATTGATTCGTGACAAGTGACTGTTCAATACTCTCAGCTGCTCCATCCCATCCTCCTGGTGGATAGATTTACAGGGCCATTTATTTTCTTTCCCCCATATGTAGACAGTGGTGTTGACATGGTGATTTATGTTATCCAGAAGGTTTATTTGTCATCTTGAAAAACAAGGTCCCATGGAGCAAGAGAACTGTTTGATCTTTGTCTAGATCAGCGTTTCTCGAATGCAGCCACCATGGTTGCATGTGGCCACCAGCGTATTTTTTTTCTGCAGCCACAATAGCCTCCAAAGCATGGGCAGAGATTGGGGGGGGGGGGGGGGCAAGCAGCGGCCCCTCCCTGCAGCACCCAGCTGTTGCTCCTGAATAGCTGTTACCAAGAGTAGCGAGATGCGCCACCTTGATGTTTGTGCTGGCACCGCCAGCAGGGATCGGTGCCCTGCACTGCACCACCTCGGAGCTCTGGGCAGCGCCTCTGGAGACTCACGGGGCCGGTGTCTGCGGTGCCGGAGTTGGATCTTGTCAGTGGAGGCGGCTGCAGCGTTTGATCACCAGGCTCTCCCCTGGGCAGCTGGGGCCTGGGGAGCCTGGAACTCTGCAGGTGGCCAGTGAGTTCTCGACCCCCTTCCCTGGAGCAGACTCTCAATGAAGGGCTGCAGGAGTCAGGAACAGAGAGACAGGGTTTGTCAGAGCAGCCACCAGCAGGAACCCCTGGTCTAGATTATGAAACCCTGAACAAAACACGAATATCTGCATGTAAAACACAGCCCATCCCCCTGCAAAGGCAGGACATGGCTCCCTGATTGACATATCCGATATGACGCTGACCCTGGCAGTCTTCTGGAGCTAATGCTCTGGTATTAAACTCTTGCTTCTTTCTACACTAGAAATTTCCCTTAAGATTTAAACTGGTCTCGATGTCAAAATGTTTCTGAAATGCCTTTGCAATGCAGTGTGAGAAGCAGCCGGTCAGCAGCTGGCGCTGCATGGCGAAAGCATTGTGTGTTACATCAAGGGGAACAGTCTCGTACCCCTGTCTCCTTGAGGTACAGCCCTGTGGACTTGCCTGGTCTCACTTACAGCAGTGTCTCCAGTGGAGTTTGCTTGGAGTGAAATGATGTAAAGGGGAGAAGACTGGGGCTCGGGCGAGTCTGCCAGGATCTGAGCATTCGGGAAAGTGCAGGGTTAGCCACTGCTGTGTGGGGAGCAGATGGGAACAGGAGTGGAGGGCCAAGTGCATGCAAGTGGAGTGAAAATATTCCAGTGTATCCCCAAATCCTACAGTTAGAGCCCCTGTGAACCAGACTCCTCCATCTATTGCTAGGGTCTGCTGACTGGCCCTCCCCAGCTCACAAATAGCAAGGTCAGAGCCCAGCTGTTTGACATTGTCAGCTATGGGCAGCTTAATGTGCATAGTGAAATGCAGCTTGGAAATGTGTAGCCTTTTGCTTCCGCATACCGCCTAGGTGGCCAAAGTGGCACAGGCATGCCCCTGTACAGGAGATCTGCAGTTCCCACAGGGGTGGACTTGGCAGTGCGAAATGGGCAGGTGCAGACATCTTGTTTGACTGAATCTGGAGTTGAAATAACTTTGCTGTTGGTTGTGCCCCTAATGAAGGGGCTCTTATAAAGCTGAGAACGGGGCTTGATTGGTTCTTGGGGCAGTTCTCCGTTCCCGCTTGGGGATGGTTACCGCGAAAGGCGAAGAGTCCATCTGCAGGAGACAATGTGCATGGATGGTGGATATAGGAGACCAGAGGGCAGGGGGAATGCTGAGAACCCTGTGGTGTTCTTTGCGTGATTGTCCACTCTTGGTGCACATGTGCCCCATGCACACAAGATCAGGTTCTTTTTGGGCCGCACCTGAGCAATAGGTGTCCTCAAGTCATAGAATCATAGAATATCAGGGTTGGAAGGGACCCCAGAAGGTCGTCTAGCCCAACCCCCTGCTCGAAGCAGGACCAATTCCCAGTTAAATCATCCCAGCCAGGGCTTTGTCAAGCCTGACCTTAAAAATCTCTAAGGAAGGAGATTCTACCATAGGTAACGCATTCCAGTGCTTCACCACCCTCTTAGTGAAAAAGTTTTTCCTAATATCCAATCTAAACCTCCCCAAGTGCAACTTGAGACCATTACTCCTTGTTCTGTCATCTGCTACCATTGAGAACAGTCTAGAGCCATCCTCTTTGGAACCCCCTTTCAGGTAGTTGAAAGCAGCTATCAAATCCCCCCTCATTCTTCTCTTCTGTAGACTACACAATCTCAGTTCCCTCAGCCTCTCCTCATAAGTCATGTGTTCCAGACCCCTAATCATTTTTGTTGCCCTTCGCTGGACTCTCCAATTTTTCCACATCCTTCTTGTAGTGTGGGGCCCAAAACTGGACACAGTACCATGAGACCAAGTTCCTGCCTCCTTAACTGGTTCCCACTCCTTGTTTTGGGTCCTGCTTCCTTGCTCTAACTCCAGTTACTGACTCTGGCTCGACCCATGGCATGGCTCCCCACTCTGACTCTGGATTGACCTGTGGCACACCTTCCAACTGACCATTAGGTCAGACTGCCCTATTGCAGTCCCTGACAACCTTGGGTCTGTGCTTAACATCTCCCAAACCCATTGGAAAGCCCTTTGGTGCTTGGCCTCTCATGCAAGCGCTATGAATCACCTAAAACTCCTGCCCCTTTGGCATGAGCCAAGCATCTAGTTAGAACCAGCATCTAGCTGGAGCTGCCTGGTTTCACACTCACGCCCACAGGCCAGCCTTCTTAAAACCCACTCGTTTCAACAGGGTAGGAAATTCATAAGAACGGCCATACTAGGTCAGACCAAAGGACCATCTAGCCCAGTATCCTGTCTACTGACAGTGGCCAATGCCAGGTGCCCCAGAGG